AAATATACATAAATAAATAAATATTGTTGGTTTAACTTAAAAAATTAAGTAACCTGGCTGCCTTAAAATTTTAAGTTCATTGAAATGGAAAAATTTAGTTAATACAATGAAGGAGATTGATTTAATCATCAGAAACTCAAAATATTATGTTATCTGAACTACATAAATTATTTAAGTTGATTTGACAAAAGAAAAAATGTTGTGATTACAAATCATGAAAATATTTTTTTTTACAGTGTAGGGAACGAACCGGCTTCGTGTGGACGTGGCCTAGGTTACTCTTCGAGCTTTCCCAAGGTCATGATCTTTATCTCTGGTGACGGTCTCCTTGCCCCTCTAGGTGCAAAAAAAAAAAAACCTTTGTTGTCCTAGACAACAAGCTTTCCCAAGCTTTAGGTTCCTTTACAAGTACAAGGGGGGCATTTTTTGCCAACTTAGCCAACAAACAATACTCAGGGTTTGTCAACACCAGTCCTGGGGACACCACCTCCCAGAAAGTTTTAGATGTCTCACTATGGGAACTCCTATGGGATATGGGTCCAAAGGACTGTTGTTGACAAACATGTTACTTTATATTATTTACGGAAATTCTATCATGTTATGCCTCTTTCTAGGTCCCTAAAGTCAATCAAATTTAAGATGCCATTTCTGGCTGGGCAGAATGACTATCACAGGGGGACCCCGGGCACGTGTCTACGGGGGTGACCTGGAGTTAAAGGGATACTCCACTTTTTTTGGAAATAGGCTCATTTTACAACTCCCCCAGAGTTAAACAGTCGAGTTTTACCGTTTTCGAATCCATTCAGACGATTTTCTGATATTTAGAAGAATATCAGTAGCCAGACAGTTTCTGGTCTCATTGACTTCCAGTATATATTTTTTTCCTACTATGGAATTCAATGAGACTAGAAACCGTCTGGTTACTGATATTTTCTAAATATCAGAAAATCGGCTGAATGGATTCGAAAACGGTAAAACTCAACTGTTTAACTCGTGGGGAGTTGTAAAATGAGCCTATTTCCAAAAAAAAAAGTGGAGTATCCCTTTAAGCTTGCACTGTACTTGGGTGCCTGATGTTCAGGTCAGACTCTCTGAGGGGCCTTAGTCTCTGTATGCAACAAAGTGCCCACAGGCCCTAGTGGTCGGTTAGCACTGTATTCACTGAGGGTCCCGATGTTAAGCAAATTTTGGTAGTCTGAGGTTTTGGAGGTCCTTGAATGTAAATTGTTTAACACAGCACACACACCCCATGGATAAGCTACTTCAACTCTCCTAGTGTTTCCAAACCTTGGTCATGGTCGGAGTACCTTCCCCACGGCACATTTTGTAAGTTTTCCTAAAAAAACACTGAACCTAGAAACTTGAGACACACCTTTTCAGGTTTCTCCTCTTAAACTTTTTAAGCTCACACCCAAGATATTTTAAATATATGTACATACAACAAACAAAACCACAGACTTTCTACTAGCATACTTCAAATTCCTTCTTTAACATTATGTTCCTATCCATCGTCAATGCAATTTGTTGACTCATTTGAAAACTCAAGATGATTCATCTTTAGACACCTGAGCATAGATATATATATATATATACACACACAACTGTTGTAGCATTTGCAGGTCTTTATAATCAAGGCTCTTGTGGTATAACCTTAGCACTTGACCCATATCCTCAGCCTCCTGTTCTGGTAATTACATACGTACTTTCTTGTTGGTCATTTTAAAAGGGTTATGAACATACTGTAAATCAAGCATTACAGGCAGTAGTAGTACACTTTCACCTTGTTTTAAAAGGAAAAGCAAATGAGAATGTGAGTAATCTTTAGGTTTTACTTGACTTCTCTACACACAGAACCACATCAAACATGCAAGGTACTGTACCTCAAAGTTACCACATTAAACTACATAATGCTTCAGATACAGTACAGAACTCTAGTTCTCTCAAATGCACAAAATACACATTTTATTCAAAGAACTGATATGACAAACAAGGGTTTTTGCACTGTCAAAAGAGTTAATGCATTCATTTCCAAGAGATCCAAATCAGCTTCAAACAATGAGCTCAGACGTTTGTGACTTTCAAAAATGACGCTCAACAGAATGAAGAAGTTATAAAGTTTACACTTACTGGAGCTTACAGTAAATACTCTTAGCAGTTGAACCCACAGCATTGTGTGTGATTGAGCAGCAGGAAATGTCTAGCAAAAAAGTGAAAGCTTTTGTTACAACCTACGCTGTCCCATCTGAAGGGATGCTTGGCATCTGTAAGCCCCTAAAACTGCTGACAGACATCAAAGTATGCTGGGTAAGTGTTTATGCTTTGGGAATATGCCCACTGTCACTATGTACGCAGTGCTGATTGGTCATTTTGAATATATAGGGTTTCTGAGGTCAAATATAGGATACAAAAGATGGTGTTCCTCTTGTATTTTCCTGTCTTGGACAACTAGAGGCATATGTTTTTGGTCATTAAGTCAGGCTTTTGACCACTGTCTCTCCCCCTCGTATCTGTGTCATGGCATCTTATTTCATGTGGTTATTTTAAGGCCACATTAACTTTCTGTTCCGACTCTTTTAAAGGGTTAGTTCACCCAAAAACTGGATATTTTAATGATACATCACTTCACTTCACTTCAGAAGGCCTTTATTAACCCCCTGGAGCAGAATGGATTACTTTTATGATGGATGGATGCACTTTTTTTGGGCTTCAAAAACTTGAAAAGCTTGGAAGAGCCAGGATTTTTTTTTTTATATAATATAATATAACTCTCATTATGTTTGGCTGAAAGAAAATAGTCATATACTGTACGCCTGGGATGGCTTAAAGGTTATACATTTATGAGTTAATTTTCATATAATAATTCGGGTAGATTTTTTCTCAAGTTTTAAGATGCCAACATTATTTTTAATAGTTTTAACACTCTCCTGTCACTTCAGCCCAACAGACATGTCCAAAATGAGGACTACTGTAGTGCAAACACCCGACGTGCGTGTGTGTATATAGCAGCTGACAAACATCAGTTAAAGGAGCAACAGAAATCTGAGCTAATCCCGATACAGTCCGTCTCTGAGGGTTTAACCCCGCTGACTACACACACACACACACACACACACTTGGCACAAGGTTTTTCATTTTATAATCCATCCACAACACCCTGTTAATCAATCGGAAAACCAGAGATTATCAAAAACATACTACTGAAACACAAAACCAAGCTGCTGAAGTTGCCATGTAGCCTTGCATTTCACAATAAAGTGTAGATTTTAAGTCATAGTACATTAAATAACAAAAAAATATATACTTATATACTAAATATACCATTTTTTTTTAAATAAATCAAAAATTGCCCAACAGAAAAATGACAATTTGCTTATCTTCCTCGGATAAAGGTGATTGCTAAATATATAATATAATATGATTTTAAATGTACATACTTTAAACCTGTTTGTTTACCCATCCTACGACAAGACATTGTCAGGCAAATTGCTTACGAAGAACAAATGATCGACCAGTCAAATCAGCATTCAAGAACATAAAAATATCTGTTTTCAAGCGGGTTAATGAGTAAATATGAGTCTGGTGGAGTCAGATGGTCAATGAGGAGTTTCTTTCTTTATAGCAGCACGTCTGCTAACCCCCCACCCCCCACCACACACACACACAAACACAGATCCTATACCATGATACACACTAACAATCTAACTATAAGTGTAGTATTGTACCACAAAACAATCTTTTACTTTTACAATATTATATTGTGCTTTTGCATTAGCATATTTTAAAGCAGTGACATTAGAAGTTGTTTTTTTATTTGATCTTAAATTGCAATTGTTAATGACTTAATAAAGCCTTAATGTGTGGTTTGTGAGCATGTAATTACTGTAACTTTGCATTTAACAACTACTCCTCATAACACCCAACTCGTCCAGTCTTTCCAGTTTAACAAAAAAACTACAAGTTGTATTTCAGCTTCGCACCTAATCAAATAAAACCTCAGCCATTAGTTATTTAAAAATGATCTTTCAGTTTGACTGGATAATCCAGCTCACATTCTGTCTGTTAACACATAGGTATATATAGACAGGTTGCTGGGTAAATAAGACTTTCCACGGTACACTGACATTTATTTGACCACATGAAAAGCCAGAAGAGGAAACAAGAGACTTCAAAAACTTCACATCTATGTGTGTGAAACACACAGGATGTGACCAAACCAACAGTTACTGGTTTAATTGGACGATAATGATATTTGCAAAGTTGGATACTATTTCTTTCTGAAACACTTATTTTACGCAAAATTCATAAAAATTATTATTATTCATAGACAAGACTGATTGTAAATTTCAAAAACAGCAGATTAATCAGCCTATCCAATACCTATTCTGTACTAAAATCTGTCTAAAAATGACATTCAACTGTTTTAGGGAGTTCTCTCTGTGCTTTATGAGATCAGGCCGATCCATTAAGCATTTTTTTCCTCCCTGGACAAATCCATTTAGTTATTAAACTAATTTGCACAAGATCCAGAAGAGATGCCCGAGATGGATGGAGAATTAACCTTGAGGTGATAGAAAAGCAGAAGGTCATATAACTCACCACGACTCCCTTAAGCACAGCCTCAAAATCCAACATTTCACTAAGAGAAGACTGTTAAATAGTTTTGAATATTAATGAGTCTCAACAGAAAGCCAAAGGTTACATCAAGCATATCATTTAAAAAAAAAAAAATTAATAAACAAAGCCAATAAAATCAATCTCTCTAATAGAAGATCCGAATCCCAGGCTCAAACAGAAACACTGCAAACTAACTGAATAAAAATGACAAATATAAAGCTAATTGTACACTTGCAGGATGGACCACGCACGACTATGAATGAAAACAAAGCGCCCCACATCACGGAGCTATCCGGCACGCGATGGAGTCCGTAACAAACGCACCCAAAAGCAGAGCTCACTTCAGCCGAAGCTTCTTTATCACGGCCCCGCGTGCGAGAACTCACCTTAACACGGAAGAAAAGCGTATTTCCCACGTTTTTAGTGCTGAGGTAAATCCATGTCGTGTCTCCGGCGGCAGGCAGCAGGCAGCAGGCAGCGGTCTCCAGCGCCGAGTGAAGCCGCAGTGGAGTGAGTGAAGGCGGCGCTTAGAGACTCGCAGCAGCAGCAGCACCTGCTCCACTGACCCGCCCCGGAGGCAGAGCCACAGCCAAGGGTGACGGACCTCCTACTGACGGGGGTCATGCCACACGGAGTGTGTGTGTGTGTTCATATAGGAATGCTATGTAAATGTTGTCTGTACTAGCTTCTAAAATCCAGCAAATATAGGGGTTTTGTCTGTTAGATCTATTTTAGTCACTACTCACTATAGTGTTTGTTTAAAGTTTAAAAACATTACAAACAAAATAATTATAATCAGTGTTGGGTAGATTACTTAGTCTTAAACTATACAAAAAAATCTATAACATTACCTATTTAAAGTCATAATCTGACTACTTTTTGATTATTTTTAGATTTGCCCACTTTGATTTGAATAGGAAAATGTGTATTAAAAATACAAAGAGAAGAAACAACATGAAGTGCATTAGGGCCTAGGCTATTACGTTACATTAATGTTTCCCAGACTGATTTTTCTTGCATGCATTTTACTCCTTAGACCTCTCTAACACTCAAACATTATGCCCTTTTTAATTTGATGTTAGTGAAATATATTAGGGTTTATACTCGGTCACAATAGTGACCGGTGCGAAACACTACACGCATTTAGGATATGAGATCATAAATGATATATAAATGATATAACATTTTACTACTGTAAATCATTTTATTTAAAAAAAGTTAATAAAAGTTACAAGAATTTTAAGAAATACCTAATAATAAATAAAATAATTTAGCATATATAATTTAATAAAAATATAACAGTTAATTTCATTTTTGTTATGAATACTCTATAATGCAGAATGAAATATAGTTTGCTAGTTTGTTTACCACAATCATTTCTAGTTACCAATGCAAAAGCACATATAAGCACATATAATATATAATAAAATAAAATATAAATATCTCCTTTAAATGACAGTAATAATTCTAATAAAAAAGGACAACATGGGTTCATGGTTACTAAACAATAGAATCACACATATGAAAAAAAAACATGCTCTCTCTAAATAGTTAAATTTGTTAATATGCAAAATAAATGAAGATGTAAAAAAGGATGCAAGTGTATTCTCGTAAGATTCTGCCATAGTCTCTCTCAGAACGACAAGGAAGTGTTTAAAACCTGGCACATCTATAAGCCTCCATTTCCAACTGATTCTGGGCACGCACACACACATACACACAAACACAGAATACACCTGCAGGGCATCCTTGAGTTAGTATGCATGTGTGTGTCTAATGCGTGATCAAATGACACTGTGCTAATGGTGAGGAGAGAAGGATACTTTTATGTAACTGGTATAAACTGTACCTGCAGCCTAATCTGTGTCTGTTTTTGTATATCTCTGCACGTGTGTGTGTGTGTGTGTGTGAGAGAGAGAGAGAGAGCGCGCATGGCAGTTAACTGATTACTGAGGCACCTGCAGCTGTGAAACACACACACACACACACAGTGGAGGAAGACGAAGAGCGACTACAGGAAGGAATGACGGTGTGGCGGCGGCACATGTGCTCCTGGTGCTTTTAAGAGTGTGTGTGGAACTGACATGATTTATCTCTACTCAGCGGGAACACAATCTCTCAGCATCCCACAATGCATTTATGCACCTCACAGCTTTGACCTTGGTGCTCACCAAAAAGCTCAGATCAAATATTTACTTTACACACAAACACACACGCACACGCATGCAAATTATTGAACATATGCACTACTACAATACCATAATTTAGAAAATAAACACTTTTATGCAGAGCCCCTCGGGGACATGGTGGTGGTGGAAAAAGATGAGAAGAAAATTATTTGGCAATGCTTTTGTGATCTCTTGCAATGTTTCCCCAAAAAACTTTGTGTTTGCTCGCAAAACTTTTGTGTTCTTTGCTAGAATGCTAAACATTGGCAAAAACTAAAATTTCGTCCTATCTATTTTTTTTTTCTTCAGCATGTCCCTTTCTGGGCTCTGTACTGTTCACACTTTCCCTGGTTTATTTAATTTATCTGCTAATATTCTATATTGTTTCTTGTACCAATGAAAGAAGTATTGCTTTGAATGAATTGTGAAAAGCGCTATACAAATAAAATGTAATTTAATTGAATCAAATTTAATTTATTTCAACATTTACCCATCCGTCCATCCACCCAACCATCGATCAATCCATCCACCCATCCATCCATCCATCCATCCAACACCCACCCACCCATCCATCCATCCACCCAACCATCGATCAATCCATCCATCCACCCATCCATCCATCCATCTAACCCAACATCCATCCACCCACCCACCCACCCATCCATCCATCCATCCATCCATCCATCCACCGATCTATCCATCCATCCACCCAACCACCCATCCATCCATCCATCCATCTACCCACTCACCCAACCATCCATCAAACCACCAATCCATTCATCCAACCATCCATCCATCATCCCTCCATCCAATCCATCCACCCACCCACCCACCCATCCATCCATCCATCCATCCATCCATCCACTCAACCAACCAACCACCCATCCATCCATCCATCCATCCATCCATCTACCCACCCACCCAACCATCCATCCATCCATCTACCCACCCACCCAACCATCCATCAAACCACCAATCTATTCATCCAACCATCCATCCATCCACCCATCCATCCATCCATCCATCCACCGATCTATCCATCCATCCACCCAACCACCCATCCATCCATCCATCCATCCACTCAACCAACCAACCACCCATCCATCCATCCATCTACCCACTCACCCAACCATCCATCAAACCACCAATCCATTCATCCAACCACCCATCCATCATCCCTCCATCCCATCCATCAAATCCATCCACCCACCCAACCATCCATCCATCCATCCATCCAACCAGCCACCCACCAACGCATCCGTCCACCCATCCATCCTTCCATCCGTCCAACCATCCATCCATCCACCCATCCATCCTTCCATCCGTCCAACCATCCATCCATCCATCCATCCATCCAATCCATCCAACCACCCACCCACCAACGCATCCGTCCACCCATCCATCCTTCCATCCGTCCATCCACCCATACATTCAGCCATCCATCCACCCATCCAACCACCCACCCATCCATGTGGTTAAAATGATATGATTTAACATGATACATACACACATTAATAGATCAAGACACACACATGGCCATTTCCATTTCCTCTCCTCCCATCATCTCTCTTCTTTCCATTGATATCTCTCTTTTAATCAGCCATTCTGTGCAAATGGTTCATGGCCCGCAGTGCCTTCCTTCTCATCCTCTCCTCTGCCTTTTCCCCTTCTTTTCTCCAGCCCTCCACTCACCTCCTCTCCCTTGTTGAGTAATTATTGAGAAAGTAGCATGTGTCTGACACGGTCGCTGTGGCAACGGCGGTCAGGAACCCGGTCGCGAGCCCATTCAGTGTGTGAATGAGAGTGAGAGAGAGGGAATAGAGATAACAGCAGGATGTCAGGATATCCACTGCGCCCTGAGAGAAGATCTCTCTCTCTCTCTCTCTCTCTCTCTCTCTCTCTCTCTCACACACACACACACACACAGGAACCAGCAAACATACAGACACTGTATTTCCCCAGTCCTCTCTCAAACACATAAATACTCTCACAAACACATACAAAAATGCATGCAGCTGCAACAAACACATGCAATATTTATGATTACGCTATTCTGTTGTGACATTATTGTTTGGCAAGTGCAAAATAGTGCATAATTTATTGGTGAATATAAACAGGATATGCTGCCAAAAAAAAAAAAACTTAGAATAACAGGTATTATAATGTCGAACGCACTACACTTTTTTTTAAATTCACGAGCAGTCAAACACAACTCAAATACTGACGAGCATGAAACACAAAGAGAACTGAATATAAGTAAAGGTGATACACGAAAACACACACCTGACATAATGATGAAATCAAATTAACAGGCAACAAATTAACTAAGGTGGGAACGGCAAAAACACAAATAGAGACCATATGGTGTGACAATGACAAACATTATTTGATTATTATTATAATATATATATATATATATATATATATATATATATATATATAGGGTATAATTAATTTGGATTTTAATTTGGTTTTGTTTACTGTAACATGTTAACTGTCACACCCTTTTTTGCTTCAGAATATGCCTCAGGTTGGTCCCTAGTTTGTTTACTGACTGAAAAAAAAAGATATGATCAATAAGTTCTAAAACATGTTTTTACATTACTTACATCAAAATAAAATAAAATATTTTCCACTTTTTTTTACAAGTTACACAAAAAAAATTCAACTTATTTTTTAAAAGCCATTTTATTCTAATTTAAGTTGAAATGGGTTAAACATCCAAGTTGATTGTACTTAAAAAATCTAAGGCAGCAAAAAATATCTTCATTTGTGTTTCGAAGATGAATGAAAGTCTTACGGGGTTGGAACAACATGAGGGTGATTAATTACTGACATAATTCAAAATTTTTGGATGAACTATCCCTTTAACTGTTCATTAAACATCAAATTTCTTCTGATTGGCTGTGATTGCATCGTGTAGCAGAGCCGTTTCATGGTTTTGCATCTTCAAAAACATCAGGATTGTGTATTTTTATAAACAATTTCAGCTTTTGGGAAATCTAAAGGACTAAAACTGCAGCAAAGTGCTACTATTTGAATCATTTATAGCGATGTATTATTTATTAGTTGTGGGTTGAAGTTTTTGATCCAAAGTGAGGCATTATCTCACTAAAAATTGTGAAATAGCTCATATGTGTTTTTGTAATTGCATTGATGTTTTGTGTGGTAAGTTGAAAATCTGGGCCACCAACATGAAAAGCAAAGAATTGCTGAGGGTCGTGGTGCTGACATATCAAAAATTGTGCCATCAAGCGAGCCATTTAACCTCAGATTGCTCCAAGGCAACTGCTGAATAAAGAATGG